GAGTAGCTTACTAGGATTTATTATAACTGCAAACCACTGAAACCTGGCTGCACTGATTTTATATCTAAGCTAAGAAGTTCAATATGTTAGTAAGTGTGATTGAGACAGGTGAACATTCAGCCCGTTTCAAGAGTATTGACTTTGCCAGGCACCAGTGGCTCACTCCTGTAATCCTAGCTACTGAGGAGGCTGAGATCTGGGATCGAGGTTCAAAGCTAGCCTGCGCAGGAAAAGTCCGTGAGACTTATCTCCAATAAGGTAGAAAACCGGAAGTGGTGCTGTGGCTCAAAAGGTAGAGCGCTCGCCTGAGCTGAAGAGCTGAGAGACAGCGCCCAGGCCCAGAGTTCAAGCCCCACAACAGACCAAAAAAAAAAAAAAAAAAGAGTATTGACTTCTAATTGCATGCTACCATTAGACCCTAAGAACCATTATGATGGAGAACTGAACTCAGAGGCAGGAGACCGGAGTTCATACAGCTTAGGCATTTTTGCTCGGTTCCTCCATTCTATAATGGAGGGAGGTAAGAAGCTCCCTAAAGTTACTTGCGGGGCTCAAACTTTAGGACGCCAGGCTATGGCATTCATATTTGCTTGGTCACTTACAGCTCCGATGAGAAAGATGATGGACGGACCTAAGTAGGTGTGGGTTGGAAATGGAGACGCCGAGAATAAAAAGCTATGTTGTAAAAACACAAAAACCACCCACATCTAGGGCTACTAGGGTTCCAACAGCTGCCCCCAGCCTGAACTTACTTAGAGCACTTCTTGGACAATGTTTTTAGGATCTGAGCTGTACCCTCATGGGCACTTATAAACCCCCTCCGAAACCCCAAACCTCAAGGCTCAATTTAGTGCCTCTCACGCCCCCAGCGAACTCCTCAGAGTGTCTCGGAGCCCCCCGGGTCCTGGGCGGGGGACGCGGGCGTGGGGGGCCGTGCACCCCAGCTGGGTGAGGGACTCACATTTCTCAGACAGGGCGTCCTCGCAGTCCAGGCCGAAGATCTGCAGTTCCTCCACCAGCTGCTTGGTGGACACCAACATGGTGACCCAGACACGGGGCCCGGGTCCCCCGGCTCGGACCTGAGCCCCAAGAAGCCGGCGGACGTGGGGCGCACGGGCCCCCCGCCCCTTGGGCCGTCAGGCCGCCCCGCCGCCGGCCTCGAAGAACCTCAATTTTTTTTAATGTGGGAGCTCCACACTCGGGCTCCAATGCCCTTTTCAAAAGAGAGGCACAGAAACTTCGAGAGGGCGGCCTCCCCGGAGAAAAGCTCTCCCGAAAACCTGCTCCACATCCAGCGTCCGGGAGGGCGGAAAAAAACCCGCCAAAGTTTGTGCGCCGCGCGCACGCGCAAGGCTCGGGTCAGCCCCGCCCTCCCCGCGCGCCCCGCCCCTCTGCGGCTGCGCACTTCGCTCCCGCCCCCGCTCTGTCCGCGCGGCAAGCGAAGGTCTGCGGGCTCCCTGCGTGCATCCCCCTTTCCCAGGCGTCGCCTTTCCCGCGCGAGCCCCGAAATGCTCGTTTGTTCCCCCTTTGGCGCTCTGCCTGGGAGCGCAGGCGCTGTCGCGTCCTTGTCTTCGATTGCCCTACGCGGGAGGGACGGCCGTGAGGTCCACGCTACCGGGGTCTCCGCCCGCTGTTGGAAGGTTCGTTGGAGGTAAAGAGTCTCACGGCGTTCCTGCCCGCGCTGTCTTCGAACCGCGATCCTCGGACCCCAGCTCTGAGTCCCGGGGCTTGCAGGCGTGAGCCGGCGCCCGGCTGGTTGTAAGCACGGTACCCGGAGGCGCCGCCCGCGCGTGGCCGCCGGGGGGCGCGCGGTAGCGGCCTCGCGCTCTCGTCTGAGTGACTTCTTGGCCCAGTTCCACGCACCGTGTTTGTCACCGGAAACTAAGGCTTTCCGCGTAGTGCAAGGGTGTGGCGGGGTGGGCTGGTGGCTCATACCTGTCATTGTAGCTGCGAAGGAAGCAGAGTTTGAGGATCGTGGTTCAAAGCCAGCCTGAGCTGAAAGCTCTGTGAGACTCTAACCTAACAAAAAAAAAAAAGCCAGAGTAGCCGGGCGCCGGTGGCTCACGCCTGTAATCCTAGCTACTCAGGAGGCTGAGATCTGAGGATCGCGGTTCAAAGCCAGCCCAGAAAGGAAAGACTGTGAGACTCATCTCCAATAAACTACTCAGAAAACCAGAAGTGGTGCAGTGGCTCAAGTGGTAGAGGGCTAGCCTTGAGCTGAATTGCTGAGGGACAGTGTTCAGGCCCAGAGTTCAAGCCCCATGACCCACACACACACACAAAGAAAAAGCACAACAGAGGAATATACACTGAAATAATCACTAACAGTATTTCGTACCATTTTATTTAAATACAACAGTATCCAAATAGCTGCTAAATGCTGGACAATAGTTGAAGTCATAAGTATATCCACATGTTCTTCCAAGTGACTTTTGGGATCCTGCTTGCCAACATTATTAATTGCCAGCTGGGCGCCCATGGCTCACACCTGTAATCCCCGTTCTTCAGGAGACTCAGATCTGAGGATCATAGTTCAGAGTCAGCCCAGAGAATGAAAGTATGTGACACTCTTATCTCCAATTAACCACCCAAAAAAGGACAGAGGGCCAATGCTGTGGTCCTGTGGGGACCATACATCCTTCCTCTCCAGGGAACCCTGGATTACAACACAGGAAAAAAAAAAAAAAGCAAGCCTAGGCTGGTGGCTCCCACCTAGACACATTTTTTTTTTGGGGGGGGGGGGGGTCCGGTCATGGGGCTTGAACTCTGGGCCTGGGCGCTGTCCCTCAGCTCTTCAGCTCAAGGCTAGCACTCTACCATTTGAGCCACAGCGCCACTTCTGGCTTTTTTCTTTTTGCTTATGTGGTGCTGAGGAATCGAACCCGGGGCCTCAGGCATGCAAAGCCCTCACCTAGACACATTTTAAACATTACACTGAAATTACAATTCCCATGATGTCCCTGGCTTGGCTGCTATTAAGGCAAGGTTGTCACTGTCCTTTTTTGTTGGGTTTACATAGTACTAGACAAGTGTGCTTTTACTCCCTGAGTTACATTCCCAGCCACTGTTGCAGTTTTCTTTTTCTTTTTTTGGCCGGTTGTGGGGCTTGAACTCTAGGCCTGGGCACTGTCCCTCAGCTCTTCAGCTCAAAGCTAACGCCCTACCACTTGAGCCATAGTGCCACTTCCGGCCTTTTTCTGCTTATGTGGTGCTGAGGAATCAAACCCAGAGCCTCACAGAGCCTCATGCATGCAAGGCAAGCACTCTACCACTGAGCCACCTTCCCAGCCTGTTGCAGTTTTCTTGCTCATGTCTAACACTCTACCACTTGAATCGTGCCTTTCACCTGGCTTTTGATTGATTGATTGGAGGAGTCTTTGGACTTTTCTGCTTGGGCTAGCTTCAGACTGTGGTCCTCAAATCTTAGCCTGCTGATTAGCTAGGATTATAGGTGTGAACTGTTGTGCCTGGCTGCCCCCTGCCTTTTTAATTTACTCATTTGTGGAGGTGTGCCAACAACTCAAATGAGAAAGCTCACATATCTGAGTATGGTAGTGGACAGCTGTCATCCCAGCCAGACTTGGGAGGCTGAGGCAAGAGGACCAAAAATTCTTGGCCAGCCTGTGTTACATAGTAAGACCTATCTCCAAAACAAAAAACAAAATCGCCCAGAAAGCTCAGAATGAATTACTGACAAATGTTCCTGGATGTGTTCAACAGAAGATGAAGCCCATGATTCCATGGAGGGACTGAGGATTTGCTGAGTGTTGGGTCTCTGGCTAGTATTGGGAACAGAACCAGGGCATTGCACCTGCTCTGCCCCTGAGTCCCACCCCCAGCCAGTGCCAGGGCCTAATACAACTCCCTGGGGAGTCACCTCCCAGGCCCTGTTCCTGGGGCCACACTGCTAGAAGGCTGGTCTCAGAGGAACGGTAGGGACAAAGGCTCCGGCCCAGAGTGTGACATTTCTACTACCTCTGTTGTGTTACTCTTGGGCTGTAGGGGTTGAGCTGTGATATTTGATTCCAGGGCAACTACAAGAGAAATAAGCTGAGCCCTGGTAACTCATGCCTCTTATCCTAGCAACTGAGGACGCTGAGCTCTGAGGATTGCAGTTCACAGCCATCCTGGGCAAGAAAGTCAGTGATTCTTATCTCCAGTTAACCACCAAAAAGCCAGATGTTGAGCTATGGGTCAGATGGTAAAGCAAAAAAGTACAGGGACAAAGCCAGACGCTGATGGCTTATGCTTGTAATCCTAGCTACTCAGGATACTGAGATCTGAGGATCATGATTCAAAGCCAGCCTGGGTAGGAAAGTCTGTGAGATTCTTATCTCCAATTAGCAACCAGAAAACTGGAAGTGGTTCAAGTGGTAGAGTGCTAGCCTTGAGCTGAAGAGCTGAGGGACAGCGCCCAGGCCCAGAGTTCAAGCCCCACAACCATCAATAACAACAGAAAAAAAGCAAAATAGAAGAAAACTCAACTTTGGGCCAAGATTGGAATGCCCATGAATCTAGTGTCACTGGCAGTGAAAGTAAAGGTGAGGGGTGTGAGCACGTATCCAAAATGTGGGCTGGACTTCCCTGGTTCAGATGGCACTAGGTCATCCTAGGAGACTGCTGAAGAACCAGCGGTGGAAACATCTTTTATCTATTGCCCGAGTCTGGATTCACCACTCATGCAACTATGTATTGGGCCTTCTGCAAGGTCCTCTGGATTCACCACTCATGCAACTATGTATTGGGCCTTCTGCAAGGTCCTCTGGATTCACCACTCATGCAACTATGTATTGGGCCTTCTGCAAGGTCCACTTAGGGGCTACAAAGGCAGGCAAGGCCTGCTGTGGAGATGCTGTTCCCCAAAACCCCAGGAGGTAAGACACACATGTGTGCACACACACATGCACACACACACACACACACACACACACACACACACGGCAGGTTTGGAGATAGGAACAGTCAACAGTATTTTTATTATCATGAAGCACAGTCTGTGCTTTGGCCCCCTAGAGATGGTTTCCCTGGTCTTTTATCTCTTTGTGATGCAGATTATTGAGCATTCGTCTGAGAAGTCTCAGCAGTGGCTTCTGCCCCACCACCATGTCCTTTGGCTGACCTTGTTTGGAGTTCAGTGCCAGCTTCGCCCAGTATCCCTGGGAGAAACTCAGGGATGGGGAGGGCTGGGCACTGGCTGAGCTGCTGCCAGCTTATGCCAGGTTCCTCTTGGCAGCTTAGATGGTTTCCTTGAGGTGAGACGTGCCCAGCTGCTGAAGAGACATTTCTTCTCTCTTTTCTTCTGTATCTTTCTTGGAAGGACCCTCTTTGGCTCTGTTCGAATGGGAATGGAAAATGTCAGTTATCTGCTTATTTTCATCATTTGTCTATCTTGCCCATGCATCCTGGCTGGCTCCATTTTGGAGATTTTTTTTTTCAAAGTTACAACAATTTTGTCAGTGGGAAAGCATTTGAGATAAGGAGACCCTGATAAGAAAGGGGACTGGAATCTTCTATTCAATTCCCTATTCCCATGTGACTCATGCTCTTTTAAATCAATGACAGAAAAAAAATTTTTTTTAATTTACTTTGTCAGTAATGGGCCTTGAACTTCGGGCCTCCGTAGGGCCTGGGTGCTGGCCCTTTGCTTTTTCTACACAAGACTGACATTCCATCACTTGACCCACAGCTCCACTTCCTGGGCCTATTCTTGTTAGAAAGGCAACCTGGGAAGGGGGCATTGCTTGCTCTTATTTTCTGGCTCATCCTTCAAAGCTCCCACCCAGGCCTGAGCTACTTCCCTTTAGTCTCAGCCTGACAGACCCCACCCTCACCGTCTCTCCATGGCAGCGATGGTCTCCACCAGGGGCACATTGCGGGTCTCCATTAGGAAGCAGGTGACAGCCAGCCCCGCCAGCATTGAGGTGGCACCGAAGGCCACAGGTGGCAGGACTGGGTTGAACTCCCCCAGAGTGGTGATCAAGGGTGCTGCCAGACCCCCGATGCGGGCGTTGACAGAGGCGAAGCCCATCCCCATCTGCCTGTGGGAGGTGTGGAAGGGTCAGGAGCAGGCCCTGGGTGTCAGAGGGCAGGGCAGCTCTCTGCCCAGGTGCCCCAATCCCCAGTGCTCCCACCTGATCTCTGTGGGGTACAGCTCTCCTGTGAACAGGTAAATGCAGATGAAGGAGCTGGCCAGGCAGCCTTTGCCCAGGGCCGCCTGGGCGGTGCGCAGGGTCTGCATGTCTAGAGGAGAAGAAGGAGGGAGGTTGAGCTGTGGGGAGGGAGGAGGGGAGAAGGGAAGATTGGGGGAACCTCAGGAGGAGGATGGTAGGAGAGGATGCAGAAGATAAAGCCAGGGGTCAGAAGGAGGAAGAAGCTGGGCTCTAGTGGGAGATTTCCTACCATACCCAGACCTGGGCCCTACCCTGCCCTATACCATAGAAATGGCTATTATTATTATTATTATTATTATTGTCTGCTCATGCATGCCAGTACTGGGACTTGAATTGAGGGCTACTCTTGCTTAGGATTTGTTTGTTTGTTTTTTTTTGCTCTACCACTTTTTGTTGTTGGTGGGGGCGGGATTACACTGAGGACTTGGGCTATGTCCCTGAGCTTTTCTGCTCAAGGATGGCACTCAACCACTTTGCGCCACACAGCTCTACTTCTGGTTTTCTGGTGGTTAAATGGAGATAAGAGTCTTATGGAGGATTGGGAATGTGGCTTAGTGGTAGAGTGCTTGCCTAGCATGCATGAAGCCCTGGGTTCGATTCCTCAGTACCACATAAACAGAAAAAGCCAGAAGTGGTGCTGTGGCTCAAGTGGTAGAGCACTAGCCTTGAGCACAGAGAGGCTCAATGACAGTGCCCAGGCCCTGAGTTCAAGCTCCAGGACTGGCAAAAAAAAAAAAAGAGTCTTATGGACTTTCCTGCCTGGACTGGCTTTGAACCGTGATCCTCAGATCTCAGCCTCCTGAGTAGCTAGGATTACAGGTATGAGCCATTGGAAGCTGGCATTTGTGTGCATCTGTATGCCAGTGCTCACAGCTATAATCCTAGCTACTCAGGAGGCTGAGATCTGAGGATTACGATTCAAAGCCAGTCTGTGCAGGAAAAGTCCGTGAGACTCTTATCTCCAATTAAGCACCAGAAAACTAGAAGTGGTGCTGTGGCTCAAGTGGTAGAGCACTAGCCTTGTGCTGAAGAGCTGAATAACAGTGCCCAGGCCCAGAGTTCAAGCCCCACCACGGACCAGAAAAAAAAAAAAAAAGCAACAGCTCACCTTCTGGCACAAACATGTTGGCAATGACCATGAGCCCAGCCAGAAAGAGGAAGGAAGCCACTGTGGCCCGGCGGCCAACATAAATCATGGTGGTGGTGGCCACCAGCATGGCGGGGATGTCAATTAGGCCAAACAGAGCCTGCACCAGGTAGATGTTCAGTCCAAACTTCTGCAGGTCCATGGCCACGCCGTAGTAAGCCACGGAGTTAGAAAACCTGGAAAAGGTGGCAGAACGGTCATATTTCACCCATGGCTCACTGACCCACCCAGGGCAGGGGACACTGGATGCATGCATGACACAGGACTCCTTTGCTCAGGGAGTTCAACGCTCCTGATTGTCCACGACATCCCCTCCTGATCTCCCACGTGTCTGACTTTGGCTTTGAAATCCAGACTTCTCCTTCTACATCTTGAACACAGGCCCTGAGTTCAAGGCCCACTACTCATACAAAGAAAAGGATTTCAAGTCTTGGAGTTGGAATTCATGGCCTGCTTCTTCTCAGCAGGCAAAGGAAGGTGAGGAAGTAGAGGAGGAAGGGCATCACGAATCTTTCTTTTCCTGAACTGAGGTCTTTTGGGCTCTCCCACTGCCCAGGGTCAGGCTACCCTGCAGAAGGCTTCTCCACCTCCAGGGTGGGGTAACCCCTCATTCTGGGTGCCCCCAAACCACCAGACTGCAAAGACTAAGAACTTTCCCTGCTCAGAAGACACTATGTAGAAAATGAACTATGAAATTGTGGACAAGGACAGGAGGGGGTAACTGGAAGAAGGTGAAGGAAGGGGGTGACATTGTCCAAAAAAAATAATATGCAGGGGCTGGGAAGGTGGCTCAGTGGTAGAGCACTTGCCTTGCATGACTGAGGCCTTGGGTTCCATTCCTCAGCACCACATAAGCAAAAAGAAAAAAGCTGGAAGTGGCGCTGTGGCTCAAGTGGTAGAACGCTAGCCTTGAGCTGAAGAGCTGAGAGACAGCGCCCAGGCCCAGAGTTCAGGCCCCACAACTGCACCCCCCCCAAAAAAAAAAAAAGTAATGTGCAGGATGATAGTGGCTCACGCCTGTAATCCTAGCTACTCAGGAGGCTGAGATCTGAGGATCGCAGTTCAAAGCCAGTCCAGGCAGAAAAGTCTGTGAGAGTCTTTTTTTTTTTTTTTTGTTGGTCGTGGGGCTTGAACTCTGGGTCTGGGCGCTATTCCTCAGCTCTTCAGCTCAAGGCGAGTGCTCTACTACTTAAGCTATAGTGCCACTTCCGGTTTTCTGGTAATTTATTGGAGATAAGAGTCTCACTGTCTTTCTTGATCCTCAGATCTCAGCCTCCGGAGTAGCTAGGATTACAGGCATAAGCCATCTGCACCCAGGTGTGAGACTTATACCTGCAATTAACTATCACAAAAGCAGAAGTGAAGCTTTGGTTCAAAGTGCTAGAGTACTAACCTTGAGCAAAACAGCTCAGGGACAATGTCCAGGCCCTGAGTTCAAGCCCCATGACAGAAGAAGAAGAAGAAGAAGAGGAGGAGGAAAAAGAGGAGGAGGAAGAGGAAGAAGAGGAGGAGGAAAAGAAAAAAATTTCCTATTACCTGATTTATGAAATAGTAACCCCTTTGTATAACACCCTAATTATAACAATTTTTGAAAAATGGTTTGGTTGCCAGGTGCTGGTGGCTCACGACTGTAATCCTAGCAACTTAGGAGGCTGAGATCTGAGGATCACGGCTCAAAAACCAGCCCAGGTAGGAAAGTCTATGAGATTCATCTCCAATTAATCACCAGAAAACCGGAATTGGTGCTGTGGCTTAAGTGGTAGAGCACTCACCTTGAGCTGAAGAGCTCAGGGACAGCGCCCAGGCCCAGAGTTCAAGTCCCACGACCAAAAAAAAAAAAAAAAGAGAGAGAGAGAGAGAAAAGTCTATGAGAGTCTTATCTCAGATGAAGTAGGTCTGTGGCTCAAGTGGTAGAGAACCAGCCTTGAGCACAAAAGCCAAGGGAGAGTGTAAGGCCCTGACTTTACACTCCAGCACTAGCACCTACCCAAAAGCACGGCCCATCACTTACCACACCATCATGAGACAGCACGTGACCTTACGGATGGCTGGGGTTCGAAAGAGATCCAAGATGGAGCTGGAGGTGCGCACATTTGCAAACTTGCTGTGGATGTAGGAGCTTACCACCTGGGTGCAAAATATCTGATCAGGGAGAGCAAAGGACCTGGGGCCCACGTTACCATAGGAGTGCCTTCATCTGAGGAAAGGAGGGCCACAATTTGTACCTTCTAGTAAGGTGGCCAGCTCTAGTCTCCAGTGGACAGCTGGCTCCAGCTAATCTGCTTTCAGGGGCTTTGAGATGCCCCATGGGCTCCTAGGCCTGCTCTTATATTCCTGAGATTCTGTGGTTGCGTAGGGACCCTCATCCCATTCCTCAAGTAGACTGAGATAGTGTCAGACAGTGGTTAAAAATGGATCTGAAAGCCAGACACCGGTGGCTCATGCCTGTAATCCTGGCTGCTCAGGAGGCCGAGAACTGAGGATCATGATTTGAAGCCAGCCTGGGCAGGAAAGTCCATAAGACTCTTATTTCCAATTAACCACCAGAAAACTGTAAGTGGCACAGAGGCTGAGATCTGAGGATCATGGTTTGAAGCCAGCCAGGGCAGAAAAGCTTAGGAGACGCTTTTCTCCAGTTAACTACCCAAAGAAGCCAAAACCCAAGTGGTAGAGTGCTAGCCTTGAGCAAAGCAACAACAAAACAAAAATATATTAAAGACAAAAAACAAAAACTCAGGGGGCTGGGAAGGTGGCTCAGTGGTAGAGCGCTTGCCTTGCACACATGAGGCCCTGAGTTCAATTCCTCAACACCACATAATCAGAAAAAAAAAGCCGGAAGTGGTGCTATGGCTCAAGTGGTAGAGTTGAGCTGAAGAGCTGAGGGACAGCACTCAGGCCCAGAGTTCAGGCCCATGACTGGACCCCCGCCTCCCAAAAAAAAAAACAGAACTCAGGAACAGCAGCATTCAGGCCCTGAGTTCAAGTCCTAGGATCAGTACACACACACACACACACACACACACACACACACACGCTTCTGAGTGAACGTGTCATGACCCCATTGTATGTTCATAGGCAAATTACCTGATCCATTTGCATTTTAACTCCTCACTGGCAAAAATGAGACATTTAGTGAGATTCTATGCATATGTCAAGGCATTAGTACCGTGCCTTGCGTGGAGCTAAATAAATAGTATTGCATTACTAATCAGCTGGCTGGCTTCTTTTGCTGGGCCTGGACAGAAAATGTGAATAGGTGAGAATTAGCCCTTCTAATGGGTGCAGTGCTGGGCCCTTGGGCACAGGAGGCCTTGGGGCTGGACTGGCAGACTTGAGCCTTGAGCCGAGCGCTACAAGCCTATTGCACCGGCCTTCAGAAGCCAGTGATTTATAGCTCTAGGCACACAGTGGGAACTGCTCTGTGCTTTAACCACCAGCAAGCTGAGCAGCACATAGCAGCTTCCAGCAGCAGTGACTTAAGAGTACAGCAGGTAGCACCTGCTAGTGTTCAGTTCCCGATTCGGTCTTAAGTATTAAGATCCTAGTTTTGTTTTGTTTTTTTGGCTCCGGTCGTGGGGCCTGAACTCTGGGCCTGGGCACTGTCCCTCAGCTCTTCAGCTCAAGGCTGGCGCTCTACCACTTGAGCCACAGCACCACTTCCGGCTTTTTTCCTTTTGCTTATGTGGTGCTGAGGAATCGAACCCAGGGCCTCAGGCATGCAAGGCAAGCGCTCTACCACTGAGCCACCTTCCCAGCCCCTAAGATCCTGGTTTTAAAAGTTGTTAGTGTTACAGCTCTTCAGGCCTAGAGTGTCAGGACCACTGGCCCTGTTAACAGCTCTTAAGCCTTGACAATAGCAGACTATTGGCTCTAAGTGCTTGGCCCTCTAGAACTCCTCCAGCAACCAGGACCCACAGACTCCTGACTTTGGCTCCTTACAACCTTACAGCTCAGGAGTCTGAGCTCTCTGCTGTCCCCTCACCTTCTGTCATTTTGTATACCACAGCTCTTATCAGGTTTCCTCATTACCACCTCTCCCACTGTCACTGCCACCTCCACTGGTAGACTGCTTGCCTTGCATGCATGAGGCCCTGGGTTCGATTCCTCAGCACCACATAAGCAGGAGAAGCTGGAAGTGGCGCTGTGGCTCAAGTGGTAGAGCTAGCCTTGAGCTGAAGAGCTGAGGGACAGCGCCCAGGCCCAGAGTTCAGGCCCACAACCAAAAAAAAAAAAAAAAAAAAAAAACCCGAGCATTAAAAGGTTCTTTACAATAAAGGTTTTATGAAAATGCAGCACAGAATTAACAACCTTAATAGCATTAAACAGTACTTAGTAGTATTTAACAATGCTTGATACTGTATAATTCCTGCCCAGTGCCCAGGGAGAGGGGTCCCTCTGTTCTGTCTCACATATCCACAGTAAAAAATAGTTATCTGATAATAACTGGCATTTATTTTTTTTTCTTTCTTTTTTTTGTCGGTCATGGGGCTTGAACTCTGGGCCTGAGCAGTGTCCCTCAGCTCTTCAGCTCAAGGCTAGCACTCTACCACTTGAGCTACTGCGCCACTTCCGGTCTTCTGGTGGTTTATTGGAGATAAGAGTTTCATGGACTTGGGCTGGGAAGTTGGCTCAGTGGTAGGAGCGCTTGCCTTGCATGCCTGAGGCCCTGGGTTCGATTCCTCAGCACCACATAAGCAAAAGGAAAAAAGCCGGAAGTGTTGCTGTGGCTCAAGTGGTGGAGCGCCAGCCTTGAGCTGAAGAGCTGAGGGACAGTGCCCAGGCCCAGAGTTCAGGACCCACGACCGGACCCAAAAAAAAAAAGAGTTTCATAGACTTTCCTTGCCTGGGCTGGCTTTGAACCGCGATCCTCAGATCTCAGCCTCCTGAGTAGCTAGGATTATAGGAGTGAGCCACCAGCGCCCAACCATTAATAATTCGTATTTAGAATGACACTTTGTCATTGGTTTTCCAGTATTTTTACTTTGTGATTACTATTTAAAATTTTTCATTTTTATTCACATTCTGACAGGATGTCAATGTGGATGAGATTATTTCCTAATGACACCGATGAGTAAATGAATGAGTGCAATAGATCAGCCATTTGTCCCAGGTCACACAGCCATTCAGGGCTGATTGGGCATCTGCCTAGAGCCTTCTCTGCCCTGTGCATTCCCAGCCTCAATTCCTGGATGGCAAGTGAGTGTTGAGAAACTAACCAAATCCCAGTAGGACTGGGGGCTGCCAGGAAGACAGAAGCTCATTCCTTGCTTCCTTCCTCACCCACCACTTGCCTCTGAGGTCAGCCTGTCCCCTTCTTCCCGTCTTCCATTCATTGCTGCTACCTTCTGCAAGTTCTGCACAGCCTGCTGCGACCTGCCATGTAGAAGGAGCCATCGGGAAGACTCTGGAAGCCACCTGGGACAGGAAGAGGAAAAAGAAGATCTGGGAAGGTGGCTCAGTGGTAGACTGCTTGCCCTGCATGCATGAGGCCCTGGGTTCCATTCCTCAGCACCACATAAGCAGAAAAAGCTGGAAGTGGTGCTGTGGCTCAAGTGGTAGAACGCTAGCCTTGAGCTGAAGAGCTGAGGGACAGCGCCCAGGCCCAGAGTTCAGGCCCCACAACCAACAAAAAAGAAAGGAAGGAAGGAAGGAAGGGAAGGAAGGAAGGAAGGGGAAAAAGAAGGCCCAGGGCTGAGTGGGGCTCATTCCCCTCTCCAAACCCAATTCTGAGGATCATAGTTCAAAGACAGCCAGAAAAATCACCAAGATTCTTATCTCTATGCAGCAAACAGAAGTGGAACTGTGGTAGAGCTCCTGCCTTGTGCAAAAGATCCAAACGAGAGCATGAGGCCATGAGCTTAAGCTCCGGTACCAGCACACACACACAAAGATGAAGTGCTCCACTGTTTTTGAATTAGGAAGACACCTTCCCTTTCTCCCTTTCTTCCTTCCTTCCTTCCTTGCTTCCTTTCTTTTTCTTTCTTTTTCATTTATTTATTTTTGTAGCAGATCGTACAGAGACAACAGCATGCCCAGCATTGTATCTGGCTCTGACAGTGGCTGTTGGTCTTGAATGAATCATAGACTCACTCTCAGCTGTACCTCAGTTGCCTTAAACTAAGCATCATGGGGTCATTGTGAGGCACAAAGGATTTGATGAAGGCAAAAATCACTCAGCAAGGGGCTGGGAATGTGGCTTAAGCCCTGGGTTCAATTCTTCAATACCACATACACAGAAAAAGCTGGAAGTGTCACTGTGGTTCAAGTGGTAGATTGCTAGCCTTGAGCAAGAGAAGCTCAGGGAAGTACCCAGGCCCTGAGTTCAAGCCTCAGGACTGATATATATATATATATATATATATATATATTACTCAGCATGTTCTAGAACCCCTTGCTTATGGGACAGGTTTTACCAAAGCTTCCTTGACTCCATTCACCAGTTCTGGGGACCCTGTGTGACCCCCCCAAGTCCAGAAAGTCCCAGCCACTACACACCTCCCCTTTCCATGGGGGCCACACAAGGGACCCACCCTTCAGCATTCCACTTTGCTGAACGTACCAAGAATAGAGGAAAAAGATCAGGAAAGGAGCAGATACAGCAAACTGCAGCCACCGCCAAGGGCGGATCAGGTACGCCACTCCTGCCAGGATGAGCTGGCCCATGGTGAAGGAGTAGCCCAGCAAGATGCCCGCCACAGTGCGGCCCCGGGTGGGCATCCACTCCACAACTGTAGAGGAAACACAGGCATGCTCAGCCGGACTTGTCTATCAGATGGTTGTTTAATCACCCCAGCCCTTTTCACCACAGTGGCCCCTTAAACTCATCCCAAGATTCATTTAGAATAAGCATCCCTGGGCTGGGAAGGTGGCTCAGTGGTAGAGCGCTTGCCTTGCATGCCAGAGGCCCTGGGTTCGATTCCTCAGCACCACATAAGCAAAAGAGAAAAAAGCCAGAAGTGGCACTGTGGCTCAAGTGGTAGAGCTCTAGCCTTGAGCTGAAGAGCTGAGGGACAGTGCCCAGGCCCAGAGTTCAGGCCCCACGACCGGACCCAAAAAAAAAAAAAAGAATAAGCATCCCTACCTCACTCCATATACCCAGGGGGAGGGCCAAAGAACCCACCAGAACCAATGACATGACAGAAGCTTAAATTCATGGGACCTGAATCTTAGTGTAGAGAAATGCTACACTAGAAGTAATAAAATGAAAAACTAGAAGAAATCAAATGAAGGTTTAACAAATTTAACTCATAAAAATGAGAAATATGATCCAAGCACTGGTGGCTTGCACCTGTAATCCTAACTACTCAGGACCGAGGTTCAAAGCCAGCCTGGGCAGGAAAAGTCCGTGAGACTCTTATCTCCAATAAACCACTCAGAAAACCAGAAGTGGCACTGTGGCTCAAGTGGTAGAGCACTAGCCTTGAGCTGAAGAGCTGAGGGACAGCGCCCAGGCCCAGGCATGACCAACAAAAAGAGAGAGAGAGAGAGAGAGAGAGAGAGAAACGAAGCCATAAAGTCAGGAGAGGAAGAGAGAGCCAGAGAGACAGAGACAGGGACAGAGAGCTAAAGAGACAGAGAAGGAGGAGGACGAGGAGGAAGAAGAAGAGAAGGAGGAGAAAAGATAAAAAGGAAAAATTTTGTAACTTAATAAGATACCATTGCATTGGAAGAGTTCTTACAAACCAATAGAAAAATGACCAAAAGCCAAAAGAAAAATGGGTGTCAATGGTTAATGCCTGCAATCCAGTTTACCCAGGAGGCTGAGATCTGAGGATCACAGTTTGAAGCCCAGCCCAGTCAGGGAAGTCCATGAGACTCTTATTTCCAAGTAACCACAAAAAGCCAGAAATGGAGCTGTGTCTCAAATGGTAGAGCACTAGCCTTGAACACAAAAGCTCAGCAACAGCAGCGAGGCCCAGAGTTCAAACTCTAGGACAGGAGGAAAAAAAGTCAAAAAATGCAAAGGATCAGTAGAGAAGGAAATAAAATAGTTCTTAACTGTAAGAAAACATTCTCGACCTCATGCAAAGACAAAAATGCAAATCTTTAACAATAGCACAGTCTGGAACACCTTAAACATCCACCCATGGGGGACTGGTTAAGTAAGTTAGGACATATCTGTACAAGAAAGCCACAAAAGCTGGTGCTGGTGGCTCACATGTAATCCTAGCTACTCGGGAGGCTGAGAGCTGAGAATCACGGTTCAAGCTAGCCCAGGCAGGAAAGTCTCTCATCTCCAGTAAACCACCAGAAAACTGAGAGCTCTAGCCTTGATCTAACGAGCTGAGGGACAGTGCCAAGGCCCAGAGTTCAAACCCCATGACCGACCAAAGAAAAAGAAAGAAAGGAAGGAAGGAAGGAAGGAAGGAAGGAAGGAAGGAAAGCAAGCAAGCAAGCAAGCAAGCCAGCCACAACAAATTAGCAGGGACATTGCTTTCTAGTGGCAATGAGCATGCATGTGCCATCTGCCAACAAGTCCTGTTGTTTCTGCCTTCACAATTTCACCCCATCTGTGTCTGCTCCGCTGCCACCTCCTGGTCTGGTTTCGCCTCTGCTCTTCCTGAGACAGCAGTGGCCTCTTACCTGGCCTTCCTGCTTCTGGTTTGGTATCATGTAACAGTGACCAAGGCGATCGGTCAGGTTTCAGATCCTAAATCAGGTCTTTTCTCAGCTCAGAATCCTCTAGCATCTCCTGTCTCATTCAGAGTTAAAAAACCACACTCTTTAAAGTGGCTCACGCGGGCTGGGAAGGTGGCTCAGTGGTAGAGCGCTTGCTTTGCATGCCTGAGGCCCTGGGTTTGATTCCTCAGCACCACATAAGAAAAAAGAAAAAAAGCCCAAAGTGGCACTGTGGCTCAAGTGGTAGAGCGCTAGCCTTGAGCTGAAGAACTGAGGGACAGCGCCCAGGCCCAGAGTTCAGGCCCCACAACTGGATCAAAAATAAATAAATAAAGTGGCCCACGCCTGTAATCCTAGCTGCTCAGGAAGCTGAGATATGAGAATCTTAGTTGGAAGCCAGCTTGGGCAGGAAAGTCCACAGGACTCTTATCTCCAATTAACCTGTAAAAAGTCAGTGGTAGAGGTATGGCTCAAGTGGTAGAGCGCTAGTCTTGAGCTAAAAAGAGTACATGGCCCTGAATTCAAGCCCTAGTACTGGTACACACAAAAAAAGTGGCCAAGTATCTCCCATCGTCCTCCTGGTCCCTAGGACTTCCCCTCCCCACTCCTCCCCCTCCTGTGACCTCATCTGTCATAAATATACCCAACTCTGCTTCAGCCACAGGGACCTCTTTGCTCTTGAGCCTGGGCACAAGCTGCTCCTGTAGGAGGGACTTGCCTTTCCCTCTGCCTGGAATTCCTTCCTTCATGCCTTGGCAGGGCTCACTCACTCTGATAACTGCAATTTAAACTGCAGACTTTGGGGCTGGGAAGGTGGCTCAGTGGTAGAGCGCTTGCCTTGCATGCATGAGGCCCTGGGTTCGATTCCTCAGCACCACATAAGCAGGAAAAAAAAAAAGCTGGAAGTGGCACTGTGGCTCAAGTGGTAGAGCACTAGCCTTGAGCTGAAGAGCTGAGGGACAGTGCCCAGACCCAGAGTTCAGGCCCACAACCGGACCAAAAAAATAAAAAATAAAAAAATAAACTGCAGACTTGGGTGAGGAATGTGGCTTAGTGGTAGAGTGCTTGCCTAGCATGCACGAAGACTTGGGTTTGATTCCTTAGTACCACATAAACAGAAAAAGCCAGAAGTGGTGCTGTGGCTTAAGTGGTAGAGTACTAGCCTTGAGCAAAAGCTCAGGGACAGTGCTCAGACCCTGAGTTCAAACCCCAGGACTGGAAAAAAAAAGTCTGTAGACTAGCTGGGCATTGGTAGCTTACACCTGTAATCCTAGCTACTCAGGAGACTGAGATCTGAGAATTAAGGTTTAAAGCTAGACCAAGGAAGAAAGGTCCATGAGACATTTATATCCAAAAAAGCCAGAAGTGGAGCTGTGGCTCAAGTGGTAAAGTTCTAGCCTTGATCAAAAAACTCAGGGATAGTGTCCAGGCCCTTGAGTTCAAGCTCCAGTATCAGCGCAACAAACAACAAACAAATACAAATAGTTATGGACGGCTCCCTTGTACCAAGCCATTGCCATTTTTACCCATTTGGTAGGGGCTCAGGTTCCCACTGGCACTGATCGCCTTCTGTGTGTGTGTGTGTGCCCGTGCGCGCGTGTGCTGGTACTGTGACTTGAACTCAGAGCCTTTTACTCTCGTTGGGCTTTTTTGCTCAAGGCTAGTGTTCTACCGTTTGAGCCACAGCTCCACTTCCAGGTTTTTGGTGGTTAAACAGAGGTAAGAGTCTCATATACTTTACTACCTGGGCTGACTTCAAAGATGAACCTCACATCTCAGCTTCGTGAGCAGCTAGGATTACAGGCATGAGCCACTGGTGCCTAGCTGTTTTTTTCCGTTTTAGATAACTGAGGGTGGTGGCTGTTTCTCAGTGCTGGTCCCAGGAGCAAGCTAAGTAGCTTAGGTAAAGCACAGGCGTGGGTGGGTCTGTGTCCAGGGTGGATTTTCTGCTACCCCACAATGCTTTCTGCCAGGACCTCCTGGGACCTGCTAGCTAGAAAGAGGGCTGAGCCTGGTGTGCTAAAGGCTTTGTCTCTACCCAAAGAAAGCAGCAGCCTTGCAAGCCTAGCTGAAGCCCACCCTGCTTAGAGCCCAGAGACTTCGGAGCTGCCTGCAGCCCTGGGCACTATCATAGCTCACCTCTGTGATTCCCCTACACCTGGCACCCAGCAGGCACTTAGTACATGATCGTGTTGACTAACGCACAGATTAAATAACCCACAGCTCCTCAGTTTACAGATTAGGAAACTAAAACCCACAAGAGGGAAAGGCCACCAGGTCCTATCACTAGCTAGCTGCTGGCAGGGCCGTGATCTGAGAATGGGGGGGTGTCTCCTGGGTCTGGACCCCAGATGGTCAACTGAGATCCTAGATGAGAATCCCAACAACGCGAAATAAGATGGGCCACATGGGGCCGCCACCCCCCTGACTCCAGCGCCCCCAGGCCCTCAGAGCCCCGCTGGGGTGCACTCACCTAGGGAGAGGGAGTTGAGGATGATGCCGGAGAAGGTCATGCCCATCAGGAACCGGGAGACGCAGTACGCGCTGAAGGAGTCCACCAACGCCGTGGCAGCCCCCGAAACCGCCAGCTGCAGGTATGACCAGATTAGGGGGGCCTTGCGGCCCAGCCTGAGCCCAGGGAACAAGCAGAGCATTAGGGTTCTGGGAGCAAGCTGCCTGCCTCCAGCCATTCTCTCTCATACGGGGGCATCAAGGCCGGGAAGGGAAAGCTGGGGTGCCTGGTAAAAGCCAGCCCTCAAAACAGGACCCATAATTTCCAGGTTCAAGGCAATGGTTCCGAGGCTGGTCAGAGAGGGGAGGAAATAGTGGGGAAGGAAATTGGAGAGATTTACCCTGGACACTGGTGGCACATACCTGTATTCTTAGCTATTCAGGAGACTGAGATCTGAGGGTTGTGGTTTGAAGCCAGCCTGGGTAGGAAAGCCCCTGAGACTCTTATCTCTCATTAACCACCAAAGAGTGGAACTGTGGGTCAAATGGTAGACCACCAGCTTGGAGCAAAAAAGCTAAGGAACAGCCTCCAAGTCCTGAGTTTAAGATCCAGTAGTGACAACTAGCCCCCCCAAAATTGAGAGAGATAGAAAGAGGCAGAGACAGACAGAGGGAGAGAGAGATTGGCTCCAGGTCACATAAAGCCAGAGATTCTACAAAGACCAGAGGTAGGGGTAGCAGGGAGAGAGGGGGTAACCTGAGCATGTTCTGGGTAGAAGGGCGCTTCAGCCTAGAAATAGCAGGGAGTGTGGGGGAGAGGTCCCCCAGGCTGCAGAGGAAGGACCCAGGATCCGGTCTACCAAGAGACTGATCATTAAACAGTGGGTGAGAAGGGTCCAAGACCAAGGACGCGGGGTTAACTACACTCTGGCTGCGGCATTGCTCCCTTGCAAAGGTGGGTTCAGGGGGAGAGGACAGAGTCCAAGAAGGGGGTGCCAGTGTTTCCTTACCACGTATCCTAAGACATACTCATTCCTACCTTCCTTTCTTGGGGAGGAAGATGTGTCACATGGGACAAGGGCCATGTCAGCCTTGCTATGAAGGGTCTGAGGTGGGAAGCACAGGGCTTTCTACAATCTGGGGAGTGGGGTCTGGAGTCCAGCAGCCCTCTCACCTGAACAGAGCGGGAGGGAAGAGGGCAGAAGACAGAAGAGAGGAGGAAGAGTAGGGAAGGCAGGGGTGGAGGTAGAGGAGCGGACTTCGTCAGAGCCTTTGCCAGGCTGCATGGTCTGAGGGTGGGGTGTGGCTATGGAGGGGTAGCCCATCCACACATCAGATGCAATGGGAACACTAAGAATCCAGGAGGTCATCGGAGGCCGGAGGCTGGCCTCTGTAATCCTAGATCCTAGCTATGCAGGCAGTGAGATCTGAGGATTGCAGTTTGAAGCTAGCCTGGGCAGGAAAATCCATGAGATTATTTCTTCTTCTTCTTCTTCCTCTTCTTCTTCTTCCTCCTGCTCCTCCTCCTCCTTCTTCTTCTTCTCCTTCTTCTTCTTCTTTTTGTCCTGAGGCCTGAACTCGGGGCCTGGGTGCTGTCATTCAGCTCTTCAGCTCAAGGCTAGCACTCTACCACTTGAGCCACAGCGCCATTTCCAGCTTTTCCTGCTTATGTGGTGCTGAGGAATCAAACCCAGAGCTTCATGCAGGCAAGGCAAGCGCTCTACCACTGAGCCACCTTCCCAGCCCTCCGTGAGGTTCTTATTTCAAATGAATTACAAAAAAATGCCAGAAATGGAGCTATGGCTGAAATGGTAGAGTGCTAGCCTTGAGCAAGAAAAGCTCAGAGACAGCGTCCTGGCCCTGAGTTCAAGCCCTAGAACTGCTGTGCAGGTGTGCAGGCATACACACACACACACACACACACACACACACACACACACACACACACACACACGAATCCAAAGGTTTCCAAAGTGGAGACAAAGTCAGGGGCTAGACCATGTGTGGATGTACTAGGACTTGTATAATAAAAATGGGGGCAAGGCTGGGAATGTGGCTTAGTAGTAGAGTGTTTGCCTAGCATGCATGAAGCCCTGGGTTCAATTCCTCAATACCACATAAACAGAGGAAGCTGGAAGTGGCACTGTGGCTCAGGTAGTAGAGTGCTAGCCCTGAGCACAGAAAGGCTCAGGGACAGCGCCCAGGTCCTGAGTTCAAGCTCCAGGACTGGCAAAAAAAAAGGTGGGGGGGCTGGGGGCTGGTAGGCCATGCCTATAATCCTAGCTACTGAGAAAGCTGAGATTTGAAGATCACAGTTAAGGACAGCCTGGTCAGGAAAGTCTGTGAGATTCTTTTTTTTTTTTTGGGGGGGGGGGGGTCAGTCGTGGGGCTTGAACTCTGGGCCTGGGCACTGTTCCTCAGTTCTTCAGCTTAAGGCAAGCGCTCTACCACTTGAGCCACAGTGCCACTTGTGGCTTTTTCTGCTTTTGTGGTGCTGAAGAATCAAAACCAGGGCAAGCATACAAGGCAAGCACTCTACCACTGAGCCACCTCCGCAGCCCTAGATTCTTATCTCTAATTGTCTACCAAAAAGCTAGAAGTAGAGATGTGGCTTAAGTGGTAGAGTGCCAGCTAAGTAAGGGAGTGAGTCCTGGCCCTTAATTCAAGCTATAATACTGACATGAAAAAAAAAGAAAAGCCGGGTGCCAGTGGCTCACACCTATAATCCTAGCTACTCAGAAGGTTCAGATCTGAGGATTGTGGTTCAAAGCCAGCCTGGGCAGGAAAGTCCATGAGACTCTTATCTCCAATGAACCACCAGAAAACCAAAAGTGGAGCTATGGTTCAAGTGGTAGAGCGCTTGCCTTGAGCTGAAGTCCAAGCTGAGGGACAGCGCCCAAGTCAAGAGTTCAAGCCCCACAATTGACCAAAAAAAAAGTTCAGAGACAGAGCCCAGGCCCTGAGTTCAAGTTCCATGACAGCCCAAAGAAATTTAAACACCAAATGAAGGCTGTGGCCTAGGGCTTTTTGGCTCTTGCTTTGAGTCTGGGGCCCCCTCAATCCCCAGGGCTCACCTGTCCGCCAGGCCGCCAAACACAGCGGCTCCCACTAGCACTCCAGCCATGTAGACAGACTGCGCCAGGTCGGGGAGGCTGCGGGCCTCGCACACGAGATCCCACTGCAAGCGAAGAGGGGACCCTCAGCCTTGGCCATGGGAAGCAGCCGCCATGCCTCCCAGCCCCCTCTGACCTCCATCGCGATGGTAGATGGGAAGACACTGCGATCGTAGACCCAGCCTTCCTTGCATGGCTCTGTGGCTGCCTGGTGGACGGAGGTGGTGTTGGGGCTCAGGAGGGCCCACTGAGGCTCCATGAAGCGCTGGCATGGCTCAGGGACCCCATGCTGGTCCAGGGGGACCACGGCCCTCAGCCAGGCCACTGAGTCATTGGTGGTGGCCCCCGTGTGGTTGGTGGGGTGCCGACAGTAGTGGGGGGGCACGGCAGCTGTGAAGTTCTGTAGGAAGGTGTGGCAGGCCAGCAGGGCACAGGGCAGCAGCAGCAGGGTGGTGTAGACCAGCTGGAAGCACCCCACGCCGCCCAGGGCATCCAGCAGGTCTGTGAAGGCCATGGCCACAGCTCCTAGCCAAGGCTCAGCCAGCACTGGCCTTATGTAAAGGGGCCAGGGAGAGGGCAGGGAGGGGGCAGGGGAGAGGTGAGGCGGGGAGGGGGAGGATCAGGCCAGGGGTTAGGACCACAAATGCTCTGGGTCCAGCAGCTCAGAAGGGTCCAGTTACACCTCACAGGAGGCCGTGATTATCCCCACATCTGCATGGCTCCCTCCCCAGACCTCTTCTTCAAGTCTCTCTCCACTCTAGAGGCTCACCTTGCAGCCCACTACCCAAACCAACAGGCTCAGCGGCCCTGCTTCCGGCCCTCCCCACAGGACCCAAGGGTGAACGAGGCCTGGGACCCATTCCCTTTTTTCCGGAGGCCATGATGAGGCGCAGGAGCCCCAAATCCAGCCTCAGCAGTCCCCAGCTCTGTCAGCAGACTTGAAATCACAGCAGGAGCCATAAGTGTTCAGAGATGAGAGGGGGGCCGATGACTATGGCTGCTCGCTTTTCTCCGCTCCAGGACGTCAGGGACTCGACTGCACAGGAGACACTTTAAAAATGCCCCCATGAGGGATGGGAAGGTGGCTCAGTGGTACAGTGCTTGCCTCACATGCATGAAGTCCTAGGTTCAATTCCTCAGCACCACATAAATAGAAAAAGCCAGAAGTGGATCTGCGGCTCAAGTGGTAGAGCGCTAGCCTTGAGCTGAAGAGCTGAGGGACAGCGCCCAGGCCCAGAGATCAGGCCCCATGACCAAAAAAAAAAAAAAAATGCACCCATGAGCTTGGTATTGGTGGCACACATCTGTAATCCCTGCTCCTCAGGAGGCTGAGACCTAAGGATAGCAGTTCAAAATCAGCCTGGGCAGGAAAGCCCAAGGGATTTTGTTGTTTTTGTTTTTGTTGTTGTTGTTTTCCCAGTCCTGGGGCTTGAACTCAGAGCCTGGGCACTGTCCCTGAATCTCTTTGTGCTCAAGTCTAGCACTCTACCATGTGAGTGAGCCACAGCACTACTTCTGGCTGTTTGTTTTTTCCCTGTGTATGTGGCACTGAGGAATCAAACCCAGGACCTCATGCATGCTAGGCAAGCACTCTACCACTGAGCCACCTTCCCAGACCCCCGAGAGAGTCTTATCTCCAATTAACCACCCAAAACCCCCAACATAACAAAGGCAGAAGTGGAGCATGGCTCAAGTGGTAAAGTGCCAACCTTGAATGAAAAAACTAAGTGCCCAGGCCCTGAGTTCAAGCCCCAGCACAGACAGACAGACAGACAGAAAGATACAGACACACAGACACATACTAAATGGGACAGCCCAGAGGAGGCCTAAGACTAGGGGTCCTCAGTTCCCTCTCCACATTGGAGCAGCCAGGCACGCCCCCTCCTCTGGCTCTGCCAGGGGCCGCCTGTGCCCCGCATCTACTGTCTTGGCGACTTTACTGCTCATCCCAGTTCAGCCCACCCTTATCTCAGGTAAGAACAGCCAAGATCAGAGGGACTGGTGCCGTTTATATAAGTAGCAGGTGTGTGGGCCATAGGACACCCCCACACCTCCAGAGGGGCTGAAGGGAGCTCTCTGTGTGTGGTGGGGAGCTCCCTGGGGGGTCAGGTCGGTGCTGAGAAGGGGTTGGGTTTCAGCTGGCGCCTTCGCTGGCAGAGGAGTGGAGGAAGCAGAGGTCGGGCTCCAAGGCCTCCAGTTGGGTAGGCTGCCCGGAGCCCCCGCTGAGTGGCTCTGTCCCTGCGCCCAGAGCCGGTGCTGCTCAAGTGGCCAGCCTCCAGCGGGTATGGACCCGAGGGTCACGAGCTTTCCATTGGTACAAGGCTTGGTTTAGGAGAATCACACTCCAGAGAGAGATGTGAGGCCTTTTTCCTTTATTATTATTTGGGACTCCTCTGCATGGAAACATGGGACCTCCTTCCCCCACCCCTAGTTCCTCTGGCCCCCCATAGCCAGTCCCTGAAGAGTCCCCTTTAAAATCACCTATATATATATATAAAAAAGGAGAGGAGGAGCGAACGCCTGAGCACCCTGGGGCTGGGCAGCTGGGGGGGGGTCGGGGGGGGGCTGCAGAGCAGGAGGACATTGGCTTCTGCACAGGAAGGCACAGACGATCTCAGCCCTCCCCACCCGGAGGGGGGAAAGGGAGGCTCCCCCAGAACAGGGAGGGGGCTCATACATCTGGAGCAGAATGTGCAGAGCTAGTGGTTATAAAGTCTGCAGGTGAGGCCAGGAGAGGGTATGGGCGGGGAGGGAACCTATGGAGTGAGAAGGGGTGCATCAAGATGTTGGAGAGGGGGCTGCCAGCCCCCCTCCCCCCAAGGAGGCCTGAAGCAGGAGTAAGCGGCCATCTGCCTTCCAGGTTTGGCCTGCCACGGGTCCGTCCTGAGCCCAGGGCCGGAGAGGAAGTGAAGGCCTCGCAGCTCGGCCCAGAGCACGTGAATATGGCAGCGCAGGGGACAGGAGGCTGGAGAAGGACACCTTCTTGCTCCAAGGAAGGCACTTGCAGCTGGTGAGGCCTGGCAGGTGTGGCTTGGCAGATGAAGAAAGGAGGGGCGCAGCAAAGTGGGGAGGGGGGGCAAGTCCCGCCTCATGCAAACATGGTCAGCTGTAACCACTGCAGGGGGAAGAGAAACAGGTCAGCGGGAGACAGCAGAGATGGCCACTGCAGTCCCAGTCTCCTTCTCCACCCAGACCCCGGAGTCTAGAGTCTGACGCACAGCTCAAATGCCACCATTGATTCCCACAGGTTGAGGAACCCTGGCAGGTGGACTGCTGTCTTAACTTCTCTGAGCCAGGAGACCGAGCTCCTACAGAGCCCTCCAAGGTCTGGCCTCCCTCGTCTCTCCCCAAACCCAGCCCACTTCCCCTCACTTGGCCCTCCAGGCCCCAGCCTTGAGGCCTGTTTCTAAGGCCTCAGGCTCCTGGTCAGGAAAGGATGGAAGACTTGGGTCATAGAGCCAGGAGTCAGTGGTTCCTGCCTGTAATCCCAGATGCTTAGGAGGTTGAGATCTGCGGATCATGGTTTGAAGCCAGCCTTGGCAGAAAAGTCTGTGAGACTCTTCTCTTCAATTAACCACCAAAAAAATGCGTAGAAAAAAAAAACAAAACCTGAGGGGCTGGGAAGGTGGCTCAGTGGTAGAGCGCTTGCCTTGCATGCATGAGGCCCTGGGTTCAATTCCCCAGCACCACATAAGCAAAAAGAAAAAAAAAGCCAGAAGTGGTGCTGTGGCTCAAGTGGTAGAGCGCTAGCCTTGAGCTGAAATGCTGAGGGACAGCGCCCAGGCCCAGAGCTCAGGCCCCACAACCGGACCCAAAAAAAAAACAAAAAAAACAACAACAAAAACCTGAATGAGAGCACAAGGCCCCCCTGGTTCTTTCTCTCTCTCATACACACATATGTGCATGTATGTGAACAAAAAGAAAAGAACAGAAGCCTGGTGCCAGTGGCTCATGCCTGTGATCCTAGCTACTCAGGAGGCTGAGATCTGAGGATCACGTTCAAAGCCAGGCTGGGCAGAAAAGTCCATGAGACTCTTATCTACAACAAACCACTAGAAAATCACTGTGGCTCAAGAGGTAGAGTGCTAGCCTTGAGCTGAAGAGCTGAGGGACAGCGCCCAGGCCAGAGTTCAAGCCCCATGACCCACAAAAAAATAAAATAAATAAAGCTGGGCGCTGGTGGCTCACACCTGTAATCCTAGCTACTTAGGAGGCTGAGATCTGAGGATCACAGTCCAAAGCCAGCCCAAGCAGGAAAAGTCCGTGAGACTCTTTTTTTTTGTCGGTCGTGGGGTTGAACTCTGGGCCTGGGCGCTGTCCTTTAGCTCTTCAGCTCAGGGCGAGCGCTCTACCACTTGAGCTACAGCGCCACTTCCGGTTTTCTGGTGGTTTATTGGAGATAGGAGTCTCATGGTCTCTCCTGCCCGGGCTGGCTTTGAACCTCGATCCTCAGATCTCAGCCTCCTGAGTAGCTAGGATTACAGGCGTGAGCCACCAGAGCCCGGCGAGTCCGTGAGACTCAGCTCCAATAAACCACTTAGAAAACTGGAAGTGGCGCTGTGGCTCAAGTGGTAGAACACTCGCTTTGAGGGGAAGAGCTCAGGGACAGCGCCCAGGTCCAGAGTTCAAGCCCCACGACGACAAAAAAAAAAATAATAATAATAAATAAATAAAAGAAAATAAAGAACAGGTTGAGCACCAGTAGCTCACACCTGTAATCCTAGCTACTCAAGAGGCTGAGATCTGAGGATCATGGTATGAAACCAGCCTAGGCAGGAAAGTCTGTGAGACTCTTATCTGGGAATGTGGCTTCATGGTAGAGTGCTTGCCTTGCATACATGGAGCCCTGGGTTCCATTCCTCAGCACCACTTACACAGAAAAAGCCAGAAGTGGTGCTGTGGCTCAAGTGGTAGAGCGCTAGCCCTGAGCAAAAGAAGCTCAGGGACAGTGTCCAGGCCCTGAGTTCAAGCCCAAAACTGGTAAAAAAAAAAAACAAAAAACAATGGATGTGGTGCTACGGCTCAAAGTGGTAGCGAGTTAGCCTTGACTGAAAAAGCTCAGGGAGAGTGCCCAGACACTGAATTCAAGCCCTAGGACCAACACTAAGAAAGAGAGAGGGGGAGGGGGAGGAAGGAAGGAAGGAAGGAGAGAGAGAAAGGGAAAGCCTCACCTTAAACAGGTCAAAGGTCACAACTCCATCCAGATCTGTGTCCAACGTTTTGAAAAACCCTGTGTGTTCAAGAAAAGATGACATGGGCTGAGAACTCAGTGTGACGTCCATATATGGCCAGAACTGAACCCCAGCCATCCCCAGAGGTCTCCCCTTCGCCTGGAGGACCCTGGGTGGGCAGACACTCACGGAACATGGTCTCCAGCCGCACGAGGCAGCACACAAAGTTGTCGAAGTCAACGGCCAGGTCAGGCTCAGAGTAGCGGGTGATGATGAGCTCGTACAGCTTCTTGTTGAGCTTGAAGCCTGCGTGGAAAAGCCAGCAAGTGTCAGGCAGGGGCAG